GAACCCGGAAAAGGAAAATAAAGTCTTCCGTCCTCTCGTGTGAAAGTAGGGCTTGCATCGCGATCTGGGTGTAGTTCTCCTTGTCCACAACGACTATCAGCGCCAGCTGATACTTGTACCTGGAAGGAGAACCGCGAACAAATTGGTCACAGATCGGGTGCGCGTGGTACGAGGAAGATATTCAGAATGCTGTAGGCGGGCGACGCTTTCACTTCGAGCGGGAATGCTCAAACCAGGCCGGACGTCGCAGAGATCTCAAGGGCGCAGCCCTGCTAAAAACTCACGTGTTCGTGTTGAACGTGTTGTCCTGGATGATGACGGAATGGTACCGCAGTGCATTCTTCTGCTGCTCGACGAGTGCCCAAGCGATGCGCTTCACGCGCCCGGCCTCGTCTAGTGCGAACCTCATCCAACAACCTTCCAGCTGGAGGCGCTCCAGTAACTGCTCGGCGTCGTTCGCACCTCCCGCGTCCTCGAGCCTTTGCTTGTCCAAGCGCGCCCTGACGCTTCTCACCTACGGCGAAGGTACGAACAGCGCCCGGCGAAGGGAACACGGCGAATTTATCGCTGAGTTAATTGGCACCAAGCGACCCAACAACGTGCTGACATCATAACGCGCATTACGAGGGCGACCAAACGAGGACGTCTTCCAGGGGAGTACCGCTTTGGTGTGAACTCCGTACCTCCACGTCGATCAGAGCCACAGCATGTTACGTCGGGTCTCAATCTTCACTCACGCACCTTCTGCTTTCCTTCAATCCCAAGTCTCCACCCGTTGTCCTGAAGAGCCTTGTGCATGGCCTTCGCGTCCAATCCTTGCACGTGCAATAGTCGAATCAGGCCAGCTCGCTTTTCAATCCCCTCGTCTGTCATCTCATTCTTGCCCGGTTGCGGAGGTGAGTGCTCGATGTTGCCCGGGTCAACGTAGTGGTGCAGGCACAGGGAGGCCTGAGCCGTTGGGATAGAAGAAACAGCAGTTTCAGGGGTACAGCATAGGGTGTGTGTCCACAGACGACCGAATGGACATTTGTTCTAACACGCGGCGCTGCTACGCCTGTACCACGAGCGAGACAATTGCGCTTGGGAATATCTTGCAGCCAACGGCACTCGATGCTGCCAAGCCACTCTATCTGCGCAAGTGGACTCACCGCCGTCGAAATTATAGGAGCTTGTTTTTGTGCTGGCCAGTTCAGCATCACCTGAAACTTGCAACCCAACTAACAGTCGACCAAGCAACGGCGGGAAAGTGCGCAATCACGGCGTAGTGCGGGGGTAAGCCAGCTGTCAGCACCGGCACCGTCGGGTTCGCCATCAGTCTTGGAAAAAATCCGTGAAGGAACATGTTTGCCAAGACATACAACAGTAGCTTCGGCGTTCCTAGATGTCTTTCTGGGGTGTGATACCGAGCAAGTTGACAGCGCAGATGGTTGTCCCTCAGGGCTACTGTAGAGAAGCTTCGACATCACGCAAACCCAACAGCCAAGCGGGTTCTCTTTCCATGAGACTATTGATCGAATTTTTCATCAGACCTTCGTCGGTTGTCGGCTGCTTTGTCTGACAATACTACACCCATACTAGTGCAGCGCAAAGGTCACCCTCAACGTTGTGCCGTCCTTCGACGAGCTGACCTGGGCAATAGAAACAGCAGCAACCAGGCTGCAAGCCTACTACTGTATAATCAAATCGACTTCTCACAGCAGCAGTATCTAAAGCAGTGGTAGCTGCCCAACATCCGCTCCAACATCGGATCACTTCAAAATAGCACCTTCTTCGATGTAGTGTCCTTGGGCGAGTTCTGAACGACACGGCTCCGCCTGTCTGGTTTTCCGTCTTGATCGCAAACGATGAGGACGGTTCTCCACCTGTTCCTTAGCGGCCGTTTTCCATCGGCGGTTCCAGAGTAGAGCTGGGAGGGCAGCGAGACGGATTTCCCGATGTCAACGGTGGGTACATGAACAACGTGCCACTGCTGTTGGTTTGGACGCATGCAAGGTGCGTATGTCGTCGTTTCGTGCAGTGAACGGGACGCCCCGCGTAGTCAGCGAGTGCAGAGCGCTCTGCCTGCGCACGACAGGGCGAAAAATCCAATAAACCGCCACATCGAACCAAACCCACAGCAGTTTCAAGCCCACCTTCAATTTGTTTCGCCGTTGTAGCCTGTAGGCGTTTCTCCATGTTGCCTCGCCGGATTCTTCCTCTGCTCCATCGTCAATGTGGGGGAGCTCCAGGTTGAGGAGTTCCTCCTTCATCCGCAACATCTCCGCTACATACACAAGACAACAAACCGGCAGGCAGGAGGTGGGCAGCACTACTGTTGCATGCATGTAGTTCGACCGTGGGTATATCTCGAATGGGTAGTCTTTCTGTGTGTGTTTTTATTATTCCTTAATGCATGGATGCATGGAAAAGTGGGAAATAAAAAAAACGACGTCGCTTGGAAAAGGCGGGCACAGCGCGAGAATAACGACAACATCAACCCCAGGAGGCGGCGAGCCCTGCGTATAAGCATGCATGCAAGCAGATAATGCCGGACTTGAGTGACCTTGAGTGACAATTGAAAACAATGACATCTAGCTCCGAAAGACGGACACAGCACTCTCCCGCCCATCCCATCCACACGGCACGCAGCAGTCTGCTGCCCATCGACATACGTCTAATGTCTATACCGCTATCACTTACGAGACCAGAGTTGACTGCTCGTGGTACGCTATCGCACCTTCAGATCTGCTGAACTGGACTTTGCGGTCTTGTGGAGAAACTCTAGCAACAGTGCTTGGAGCTGCGGGCGAGGCGGCGGTGGTGTCGCGAAGTAGGCCGGCGTTGTAAGCAGGTGCCTCATCGTCCATGATCATGACCTCTTCATCCTCCTGACCTTTGAATCTCCTCTCCGCGCCATGCCTCGCGGGGTGGCGGCAGCCTCAATGCTGGTGAAGGTGCTATCGGCGGAGAGGAAAACAGTGCAGTCGTGTCCTCCACACCAACGGGTGGTGCTCTGAGCGTGCCTGAAGAGGCCGTGCCTCGGGTATCTCGTGTCAGCGCGTGCTGGTGCGATACCCTTTCTGCTCCTCTGCTCTGCTGGCTGTAGAACCAAATGGATGGGTTTGTGGAGTGGTTCTGCAGGCGTTTTCTTGTTTGGCAGTAGAATAACTTTGGCAGATTTTCGGGCGCCGCGCAAAGCCAGCACACGGAGCAGAGCGCGGAACATGACATGAGACCAACCACCTCGCCACTTACGGCGATGTTGACGAGGTTGACAACGGTGCTTGTCGTCTCGTTGAGCCATGTCGCGCTCGCAGGAGCGCAACAGGGCGAGCTAGTGGCGGCAGCAGCCGGTCTGTTCGAGGTGAGGGTGAGAAGAAGCGGCGGGATCTGTCCGTTTTGATGGGGCGGCATTACGGCACTGCTAATCATGAACCATGGTCACAGCTTGCAGCATCAGGGAGAGGACAGACCAGAGAGAAGGTCAATGCGTCTGGGTGCATCTCAGAGGGCACGTATCATACATCCCTGCAAGAGGAGAAACCCTCTCCTACTTGCCACAAATACAACAGTACTTGTGGGTCTCAGCTTGGACGAAGCCTGCTGGTAGACAAACATGTGCATCCTGCGGAGACATAGACTACATGTATAATAAGAAGGAGCCCGAGCTGTTGGAAACAGCTGGGTCCTAGGCGGAGTCTGCGGAGTCTGCAGGAGCGGCTGCCGCTGGTTTTCGAGCTGATGGTGTAGGTGCTTTGCCGCCTCGGGGCGAACACTTTGCTGGAGCCGACGGAGCCCATCGTTCTTCGTCGTATTCGGAGTCTGCTGTTCGTGCTTCTGCCCCAGATTATGCCCCCTCCGTTTTTCCTGTACAGCAGTATTCGCTGCGCCTGAAAAATTCTTGGATGCTGACATTCGTAGCATGAGCCACGAACACTACACGCGGTGGGAACAGCGTCTAGTTGCTCACGACCTCAACCTTCTACGGTCGCTTGATGCCTTGTCTCCACGATTGTGTAGAAATGAGATGTTGCTTGAATTGAGAGCGAGAAGGCCTGATTGAGGTGGGGGTCCACCTTGGAACCAGGGGGCACGCAGATAGCTGGGTCCTGATGTGGTATGGTCCCTCGGAGATATACCTCCCGGCCATCCCACATCCTATTGCAGAGAAAGATACACCCTATCGAGGCCCTACAGCAACACTCCTTAACAATACATAGAAACGCATACAGGAGCGTACGCGGCGAACTTTCGTGCTGTTGGAGTATGTAACAGCGCAACGTCCACGTCAATCCCAGTGTAGCGGACACATCCACGGTTCTCAGTAATATGTATCACAGGCCTTGGCCTGGAGTCGAAAAATCCCCACACCAAGCATGTACATGTGCGAATCAATATTAGGAAACATAAATACAAACACAGAAAGACTACCCATTCGAGACATGACCACAGTCGAACGGGATGTGTTGAAGTCTTCATAGTCGAACGGGATGTGTTGAAGTCTTTACAGTGAATGGAGGGAAACCGGCTGGGTACTGGGCTTATTTGGAGTCTATTGATTTAGGCCTATACACTGAAACAAAGATTAATCAGTGATGCCAGCAGGTGCTTATCAAAAAATCACTGTATAGGTACATATACCACACAAGACATCTCCACCGTATTGTTCTCTATCTACGGGGTCAACGACAAAAATATCGGGGAGAAACCCTCCGTTATGTCGTGTGTTGTAACATTCTGCCTTTACAGTGACACGTCGCAGTGTCGCTTGGCAACTTGCTGAGTTTTATTTATTTGTGCTTTTTTCGCACATGTCACATGCAATGGGCTATGCAAGGACTCGCTCTGTGGAGAAAGTATACTATTTACTCTACACCTGTATACGAGGTACACTGCACGGCAAATCTTCGCGAGCATGATCAGCTTCGTGCCTGTAAACCCCACCTCGTGAGGGGAAAACATCTGCAAACAAAGTTGCGAACTACTGTACACCAGACACACACGAGATCATGCGGCCTGCATGTGAACGTACTGGGCCGGTACTACTGCATGCGTACGCGTACCTAACTTTACATGCAGGCAGCGTGGTCTCGTGTGTGTCTTTGCACATGTTGTCCCCCCACGAGGTGGAGTTTTTACAGGCATGGAGTTGCCGAGCTTGGGAAGGGTTGTACGCGTAGGGCACGTCGCACATCAACTCTGCTGATGCTCGTGGTGATGCATCAGTCGAACATCGAACCACCACACAGACGTGGGTGCTTGGTGAGGTATGAATCGTACCCGGGTGTGTGGCTTTTGTTTCACAGAACTCCCCACGAATGCATATGCACATGCCTCGAAGGAGCATGCAGCTCTCCTTTTGCGCCAAAATGGTGTAGATATGGTATGCATAGAGATATGGTTGAGGTGGACATTTCGATGGAACCCACGTGGCAATTCTCCAATCATCTCGCACTCGAATGATGCGGATTATTTTCCCTACGGTGCTACGGTATATAGAATGCAGGTACAGTAGCTGTGTGATGGTGCGTTTCCGTGGCTGTGTGGCGGTCCATGGTTTTCATGATGCAGAGATGCTGGAGCTGCACCACATACCGTACACGACACAAGATAACACACACCCTGGACCTATTTTCAAAGCTCGATTTATCAACAGCAGCAAGAGTCGAAGCGCCGAAAAGGGCGGCGTTGAAGCCGTCTGGTCGAGAGCTCTCCGAAAACGTATCGTTTCGTTCATGCATCATCTTGGTCGTGGAGTAATCAGGCTTTGGAAATCGGTCCAGGGGATGTGCTATCTTGTGTCGTACACGGTATTGTGTCCGCCTGAGAGTGTGCTACTCAGCTGGTGCGTGATTGAGTGGCGGCTGCTTGGACGTTCATGCATGGTCACGAGAAAGCTTTGAACAGCATGCCTAGGAACGAATACCCGCATCTGTGGTCGGGGTAGGCCCACACAGCCCTGGAAAGGATAGCAGCGAAGGGAAGACCATTACACCTGCCTCGTCCGGTGCCGTTCCTATATTCTTCTAGAGCCTTTCACGTGCGTAGCATTGCGTCTTGGGACAGCAGCATGACCGATTTTCCACAAGCCTTCCATGTTTCCCCGGGCAACCCCTCACACCTACAGTACATCTCGACTCCTGTCCTCGGCCCAACGCGTGCTGGACTCCCCCCGCCCCGAATCCCGCCGCTCCCTCCCCCCGCCCCGAACATGCTTCTTACAACCATACGCTCAGCGCCGGAAGTTCGACGAAGCAGAGTCGGTCCTTCGGCAGGCACTCTCCGAGTCCCCTTCCAACCCGCCCGCCCTGGTGTTGCTGGGGAGGGTACGGGCCACGACCGGGAAGCTTGACGAGGCCGAAAGGCTCTACAGGGTCGCGCTGGAAGCGTCGCCGAGAAACGCTCCCGCCCACCACGCCCTGGCCAAGGTTTTCGCGTTCCAGCAAAGGTAGTTTTCTGTTTTTGTTCTTTTTTTTTTAGTGTCGGGGGCGGGGTATTTTCATATTTTCAGGTTTCTTTTTTTTTAAGGCGTGTGTTTCTGTTTTTGCGAAATGTGCATCGTCCAAGTCTGCAGCATGAAGCAGCCGTTAGACCCTAATGCTTGCCTGGCATCCTTTGTTAGGTGTTTTATTTCCTTCGTTGGGTGGGGAAGAGTAGGTGTCGTTTTGTTCGGTGTGTTCGCGGGGAAAATAGTTTTTGTGGCGAGACGCGTGTGAGAGTCGAGCGGCGAAGGCTGTGTGGAGAGAAAATATCGGACCTGCCTCCTGCGAGCAACAAGCGTCAGCGAAACGCCACGAGCAGCAATGCGCATCTTGCGCGTCTGTGCATGTACCCACCCGTGCACCAAATGAGGTCGACCACACCCAGCAATGCCAATCTCTCGTACCTACCCAACCCTCCATGAGGCCCACGATCGCCATCCTCTTACATCACCACTGGCTGTCTAAAACCTCCCCCCGGTGATGTTGACACAGATGGGCGGAAGCGAAGGAATCGTTCGAGCGATCGCTGGAGGCCGACGCCGACAACGCCGAGGCCTGGTTGGGCCTGGGAAGGGTCAGCATGGCCACGGGAAACGAGGAAGCCGCGGAGCGACACTACGCGAGGTAAGGTGTCATGGTTGGCTGGCGCCTTTTGCCTACCCACGGCATGTGGTTGTCCTGTAAAATCGCGGCCCCCGACTGGTCGTGATTCCCGATCCATACGGACATTGTGCGAGATCGCAGGGGTTCAGAGCTACGTGGAGTTGGTTCCTGATTAAGGCATGCTTGGCCAGCGTTTCCTCCCGGCGCTTGTTGTAACGTGCTTTGTATCCATCGAAATCACCACAGAGAGCACCAAAATCCTAGTTGACGCATGGGTTAACATGCACGCGCGCGTGTGTGTTTCTCTTCTGCGTCTCCCCCTTCGGCTTGCGCGGCAGGAGCCTGTCTCTGGACCCTTCGAACGCGCTTCTTCACTTCGATATGGGCGTTCTCAGCTGCAAGAGAGGACAGGTCCGTCCGTAAGCAAAAGGGTTACACTTGTAACCGAAGTATTTATGTAGCCCAGAGTTCGGAGCCATCCGCCATGTTCAGCTGCGTCTCGAGGATGTGGTTGGTTTGGGTCTCTCGGCTACGGGCGTCTGGGGGGGGCTTTTTGGTAGCTCATCCTCTGCTGCCTGCGAGGAGAAGGACGTTTGGGTGACCGACCGCGGAGGCAGGGCATCCCTCGTTGGGAATTCTTGAGATAGGTGTTTATGCACAGGGCTGGAATGGGGGGTGTGGGGGTCCCTGCTTCCTTGCATTTTCGACTTACCCCCCGAGGTGGAGCAAGGCGCTCAGCAGCGGAACGGCGTCGACCAAGGGTCCAAGCACAGGCTACGGTAAAAGAACGAGAGCAGCCGAAATTTCCCCCGAACACGAAGCCCCCCCGTCAAGCAGAACTATCCTCCGTCCCTTTCCCCCCATGTACCTGTGCCCTTGTGCATAGGTGATTGCGGCAGACGAAGCGTTCGCGAGGGCGGGCGAGCTCAACCCCAAGCTGGACCTGACGGTAGTGGCCCAGGTGAGAACGGAAGGGACAAGGTTAACGCTATTAAGGAGACTAACTAGACATGCTGCGCGGAACGTTGTCGCAGGCACGTCTGAAAATCGGTTGCCCCGGCGGGTGTGACCACAGCTTCGACGATGAGGTGAAAAAATTTCAACGCGTCTTTGTGTCCGCCACCCGTGTCTCGAAGTTGAGCCTGTCGGGGTTTAACTTGTCGCTCTTCCCGGATGAAGCGTCCGCTGAACAAACTGAAGCAATCGGGCCGACTGACCGCTCGTCGCGTGTGGAGCCTGGCGGCACGCGTGCCACACACACGTGCACGCACTCACGGGTGCTGGTCGTGTCCTCCTCCGTGACATTCCAGATTCGACACTAGGCACGACCAGCTTAGATAAGACCGTGAAACTTGTGTTGACGGAGCAGCCCCCCCCCCCCCCCCCCCCTAACCCCATGCCCAACCCCTCTTGTATCCGGCCGATTCCCTCCCGTCTACGTTCTGTTCACATGACGCAGGCCTGGGTGCGATTCTCGGCGCTTCTTCATCTCAAGGTGCTAGACGAGCGCATCCAGCACCGACGGGTGCAGGCGGCGCGTAGTGCGCTTTACCCCGGGGTCTCATCGCTGAGGTGAGATTTTTCAAGTACAAGCGAAAAAAATCTGTTGCGAGAAAAAAATCTGTTGCGAGACAGCACACGCAGTAACAAAACCGACAGACACAGGCAGAGATGGTTGAGATTTTATCAAGTACGAGCGAAAAAAATTTGATTCGATTCGAGAAAAAAACTGTTTTTCCGAGATAGCACACACAGAAACAAAACCGACAGACACAGGGAGAGAGAGAACCGGAGCGAATCTGAACTGCTCTTGTACTCTCTCCAACCATCCATCGCCTTTACTTATTATAGTATCCCGTGTTGCCGCCAACCCTTCTTTTTTCTTCCCTGTCCATGTTGCATGCTGCTGCTCCTGCTGATGCTGCTCCTGCTGCTGATGAGGACGATGATGCTTTTATTTTGCTGCTTCAGCTGTTACTGTTACCGATGCTGATGCTGATACTTTCGCTGTTGCCACTTGTACAGGACCGACGAGCATCTTCTGGAGCAGATGACGCGGTCAGGACCGCCCACGAGCCACGGTGCGATCTTCGAGGTGCTAGACGATAACTCCAGGGGCAGAGTGCGTGCGGAGGGAAAGGGGGTTTACCGGCAGGTGAGGGTCATACCGTACGTGACGCTACCCCCACTCAGACCGACGTTCAAAGCTCGATTTCTCCACAACCATGAGATTGTGCTAGTACCAAGAATGGTGGCTTTGGAGCGCGTCTCGTCGAGGGCTTTCCGTAGACGTATCGGGTTCTTTCAGGCACCCACTTTTGGTTGTAGATTTTTCGTCTCTTGAGTGAGCTAGGTTCCACATGTTGGCCTGCGCTAGATCGTCCAAGGCGGTGCACGCTGATTGGACAAAGGAGTGCCCCCCCCCCCCCCCCTTGGGCCCCGCCCAGGGAAGGGGGAAGACCCACTTTTGGGGCATTTTTTTGAAAGGGGGGCCGGGGCCACCAAAAACCGGGATATTGCTCCCTCCTCCCCGGATTTTTTTAGGGGAAACAGGGCTATGGGCCCACCACCACCGGATGGGTTTTCATGAAAAAACCCCCGGGGCCCTGGACACCCCCCCCGCTCGGGGTCCTTGGGTAAAAAAAACCCCCGGCGGGGAAGCCGGCTTCCCAAGTTTGTTTTAAGCCCCCTTTTTTTTTTTTTTTTCTGGTGGAAAACCCGGTCACTTGGAGGGCCCGCAACCCCCCCGCCGGGGGAACCGGCTATAAAAAACAAAGGTTTGTTTGAAGTTTAAATTTTTATTTGTTTTGTTTCCCCCGGTGCGAAACCCCGGTTTTTTTTAGGGCCCGCAAGG